TGGAAGTATATTTCCAAAGGGTAATTTAAACAAGAAAGTCTTCATTCAATCAATTAAACAAAAGCATTTTTAAATTTATTGAAGTTTTTAAATTTTTTTTTTTTTTTTGAAACAGAGTTTCACTCTTGTTGCCCAGGCTGGAGAGCAATGGTAGGATCTTGGCTCACTGCAACCTCCACCTTCCAGGTTCTAATGATTCTCCTGCCTCAGCATCCCGAGTAGGTAGGGCTGCAGGTGTGTGCCACCATGCCTAGCTATTTTTTTTTTGTATTTTTCATAGAGATGGANTTTTTTGAAACAGAGTTTCACTTTTGTTGCCCAGGCTAGAGTGCAATGGCACAATCTCAGCTCATTGCAACCTTCGCCTCCTGGGTTCAAGAGATTCTCCTGCCTCAGCCTCCCAAGTAGCTGGGATTACAGGCACCCACCACCATGCCCAGCTAATTTTTGTATTTTCAGCAGAGATGAGGTTTCAACATGTTGACCAGGCTAGTCTCGAACTCCTGACCTCAGGCAATTTGCCCACCTCAGCCTCCCAAAGTGATGGGATTACAGGCAGGAGCCATCGTACCCTGCCTGAAGTTTTTAATTTAATAAACATCTTAAATACTGCCATCAAAAACTAATACTATTAACCTCCAAATTTCAAAAAAATCTTAAAAAAAAACAAGTTTTGATAGTTAATTATCTCCAACTTACCTGGCTTATATCGCAGTTCTGTATCTAAGACCCCAGAAAGTACTTCCTCTATCTTTTGCACTATTTCTTCATTTGGTAGACTCCTGGCAGAGGCAGCTGCGTCACCCGCCTGGTTTCCTTCAATGGGTGTATTTGTTTCACCATTGAGCTGGCCTTCATTCCTTCCGCTTGACATGAAAAGTTATCAAAATTCATTAATATTTTGTCATAAATAAAAAAATTAATCCAATTAATCAAAATAATCATATCTGGTATTGCACTGTCACACATTTTACCTTTTTCCTACTTCAAATATTCACCACTAATAATGCTTCCTTAACATGATTACTTATATTTAGGGCATTTCATTTTTACACAAAGTTTTCATAACTATGAAAATTAAGAAAGTCTTTAAAGAGGTTTCTAAGCATACTCTTTTTTTAAACAAAATAATTTCAGAAATCTAACTTGAGGCTTTTGGGTTACCCACATGTTTCTCTCAGAAGAGAAAAATTAGTAAGAGCCCTGTCACAAATCTAAAAACATGTGGCCTAACATTATGGTAGAAACCATGGTTACATTAAAGTCACACCTGTGCATAAATCACAATCACCATCAATAGTAGCAAGGAACACAGAAATTAGCCACAGGCACTCTGAATAAGAAGGGTAACCCGTAACCTCTATCCAGGATCACACTGTTACTGAAATGCCACTAAGATTAAAAAGGAAAATAACATATAATTTTTACACAATTATCAAGAATCCTGTTGAAAAAAACGTGACATAAAACAAGTGGCATTTATACCAACAGTAAAAGCATAGATGGTTTAACACATTTTCCATTCACAGAGCCAGAGAAATTTTTAAATAGGTAAGAACATGTCATTCACCCAGTAATTTTTACTATTTTTGTGTCAATGTGCAAAATTTTGAAAAATCAAATAATTTCAGCAACAGTTTGATTTTAATTTAAATTTCAGCTAAATGAAAACACATCAATTATGCTCCACTACCTGATAAAAGTCTGAATGATCAAAAACCAAAAAAATTCAGTAGTTACCTAAATGTTATTAAGAAACATCTGGTTTTCTAATACAATGAATTACATATTTAACATTTATTGACTACTAGTGTCACACTGTTCTACATTAATTCACTTATTTAATCCTAACAAAACTCTGAGATCACCACTATTACTCTTTTTTATAAATGAAAAAACTTAGCTGAAGGTCACACAGCTACTAAGAGGTGAAGCTGGTATTCAAACCAGAGGCGGTATTCTTGCACACCATCTATAACAAAAGCTCAGTAACTTGTTTTAACTATCTAAATGTTAGCCTCATTACTCTAATTTATGTAAGAGCAGATGAGAAAAAAAAAACAGCTCACTGAAATGGCAACTAATCAAAAACTTGTTTGCAGACTGATAATGCATTATGTGTTCTTTGAAGAGACGCTGAATAGTCCTCTAGTAATAAACAGCTTCATCTAATATTTTTAGATATCCTTTCTGTAGCACTTTATTTTACAACTTTCCTAAGCACTTAAACGTACACAATTATCACAGATTTAAAAATCAAAAAAGTAATTACGATTTTAAAAGTTAATCTACAAGGAAGTAACCGGTTTCATCTTAAAGCTGTCAATTGTTAACTGCAATCAATGAAAAGCAATGAAAATTTCAAAACACCTAAATATGCAACAGTATATTCCTACAATGGGATTCTATGCAGCCATGAAGAAGTCCACTGAGACTGAGGGACAAATTCGTTCACAACGTTATTAGCTGGGAAAACGATCAATATAAAACAAGAAAATCACATTATCACACAACACAAGGGGAAAAAAATGACATGAGAGTATCAACCATTTTTTTCTTTTCTTTTTCATGTCTTCTAAATTTTCTACAATAAAACACTCATTTTCTAAATGAAAGATTAGCTTTTAAAAGCTATAAAAACACAGCTTGTTAAACTAAGCAAACAACTACTTATTGCATCCAGCGATTTGTCAGGAAAATTATATTCTCTTAGCTCGGGTCTCTTCTCATCCTAAAATACTACTAGCAATATCATAGAAATTTACAAAGCAACGTGAGTGGATGTATTTCCACTTAAAAAACAACATTCTGCAAAAGTGATAATTCTAGCAACAATACATCATTGCCCTAATAATCCTGTATTACTATGGGCACTTAAAACTGGTTTTCGCCCCATTTTCAAGTTCACGTACTACTCTTGCTCTCAACTTTTAAAACACAATTAAAAACACTTGAACTTGGAACACTTACGTTTCAAGGTCTTTTTCCTACTTTTGAACTTTAAATAAATGAGTATCTTATACAAAGCAAATACTGAAAGACAACACAATATGACACACTATTTTCCTTTCTGAGTAAACAACTATTTAACAATCTCTTCGCCTACAAATTTCGTGAAGCCAAGCGCAAATTACGTAAAGTCTACCAGCAATGACAAAAATAGCGTGTAATTTGGGAAAGGGGTGGCCAGAAAAATAGACATACACAGAGTCCACTTTCTTTTTCTGTAATTAATCACTACCACTACCATTTCAAAGTCCCTTTCCATCATCTCGAGTATTTTAACAAAGTACCAAATATTAGTTTAAGCTGTTTTAACTGAAACATTTAACCATTAGAACGGCTGTCTGGGAGATACTACAGGACAGTAGGCCCGGAATAATCTAATTAATAGATCCAGACCCCCAAACGGTCTGAAGCTCGCAATAATCAAGCGGATTTAAGATTACCCAAGAAACGGCCGTTGGAGACCCTTTCCGGTCATAGGCACCGGCCGGCGAAATCCGCGGAGGCAGAGAGGGGGAGGGGATACGCGGCAGCGGAGGAGGAGCTGCGGAAGGAACTAGGCCCGTCCCTAGTGGACAACCAGGCCTACGGCAGGGGGGAACCAAAGAGGAGAGAAGGATGAGCATCTTAACTCAGTTCTAAAACAGGGAGTCTGCGGTTACCTCGGCAGAGGCGAAGTTCCTCGGGGAGGGGAAGGAAGGGAGCGGCTGGGGGGGAGTGGTGGGGGGGGCGGCCCGGAAAATGGATCCCAGGCCCAGGCGGGGCCCTAGCGGGGCCTGAGCCGAGGAACGACATCGTCTCCGAAGAAAGGTGCCAAAGAAGGCTAGGTGGGGCCCTAACGGTCCGCTGGGAGCAGAAGATTCTGGGAGGCGTTTACCTGGAAAGCTCCTGTTGAATTTCCCGGAATTTACTGACCACGAAAGACCTAAAAATCTGCTCGATGTTGGTCGCCATGGCGTCCGCTCCGTTCTCTCAACTCCTCCTCGCTAGTCCTCCAGCCTCCCAGCATGCCTCGGGAGGAGGCGCAGTGGCCAATTCGGTTTCTCGCTTTCCTGATTGGCTTCAAAGGGAACGCTCGGACCGGCCCGCTCCACCGATGGACCAATCAGTGAGCACGGCCCTGCTCTCCTCCGCTGTTTCTGAGCGGCTGGGGTAGAGGTGCTGACGTTTGCGCCGCGCACGACTATGTCCGCCATGTTACTGTCTGACGCAGGCGCCATTACAGGAGCCGTCTCTCTTGAGGCGGCTGTGTCCAAGTTACCAGTCACCAGCAGTGTTTGGGAGCCATAAGAGGCTCGGTAAGCGCCTGAGATTAAAGGCCAGGAGAAAGGAGAGCAAGAAGGGCAACGCGCTGTTTGACCCAAGGCTTCCAAGCGTTTGCAGGTGGCGCCAAGTTCCGTTTCGACAGGGAAATGCATCCGGGAAAGAATTATTCAGCCCCCGCCCCCAGGGTTGTGAGAGGAAGAACTCGCTGTTACCCTGTGTCTCCTCCAGTGCATCCTATAACCAGCCTCATTTTTTTAGCATTAGGCCGGATGTCCTAAGCGACAGGCGTTCAAAGCCTGGTACATTTTAGTCTCATCAGGTGTCACACGTGTCACCAGATTTTTCCACAGTAGCTGGTCAGCCCTGACTCGTGAGCGGCGCACAATTGGCTAAGCATGGATTTAGCATTTTGGTGCTCCCCCTACTCGGAGTTCCTGGAGACACTGAATGCACCCCATGTCGCTGTCACATTATAAACGTGTTAGGGCTTTGGTGTCGGCTGGGGAGCAGTCAGGCCTCGCCCAGGGCGGGAGGGAATCAGACTAGATTCTCGCCGCGGAGACCCAAAACCGCGCGGACCAATGGGGCGGGAAAGCCGCCGCGGGCCGGGGTGGGGCGGCGCCGCGCTCGTCCCGCTCCGGTTCCGGTGGGCCAACTTCCGGCGAGTGGGCAAGCGGGAGCCTGGTGGCCGCCCGGTGTCGGTGCGTAGAGCCTCCTCCGCTTTTATACAGAGCGCGCTTAGGCTTTGGTTTGGAGATTTAAGATCGGGAATTGAGCGAAACCCTAGAAACCGGTTTATAGAAATTTTGGCCTTGTTTGTAAATGCGGTGGGGGTGGGTTGGCCACGTGCTTTTCACTTAATGTTAGCTGAAGTTTCTGTTTGCTCTTTTACTTTTCTTGCTTTCTAAGATGTGAAGGCTTTTTGTGTCTTGATGCATTTTTAGGACATAACCCTAAATTGCCGTACTTTGTCAGGTTTTCTTTTTATGCATCCAATGTCTCTAGTAGATTACTTGGTTAACTTTTGTAATTGGTTTCTATTTTCTTTTATTCTCGAAATTCTCTGATACGCTTTACTTAGCTGTCATACTCTCTTTATGTTACCCATTCTGATGAATGAGGCCCAAGGTTAGTGAAGTCCCCCAATGTCTCTCTGCTAACGTGGGGCAGGGTCTCTACCCAGGCCAAGGTGCTGTGACTCTGGAGCCCAGACGTCCTCACCACTGGGTGGTAATGCTATTTTCAGTGATCCGCTAGAGTAAACAGGAGAATTCTCCCACACTAATGCTTTATTCAAACTGAAGATGTAATATTTGCTCTAGATTTAAAGATCTGTTTATTTCTGGCTGGATGTGATGTAATCCCAGCACTTTGGGAGGCTAAGGTGGGTGGAATACTGGAGGTCAGGAGTTCGAGACCATCCTGACCAACATAGTGAAACCCCATCTCTACTAAAAATACAAAAATCAGCCAGGCATTGCGGCGCACACCTGTAATCCCAGCTACTCGGGAGGCTGAGGCAGGAGAATAGCTTGAACCCGGGAGGCGGAGGTTGCAGTGAGTAGAGATCGTGCCATTGCACTGCAGCCTGAGTGACTAAGCGAGACTCTGTCTCAAAAAAAGAAAAAAAAAATCTACTTATTCCGTGTATTTCAGATACACATGGCAAGTAAAATGTGTTTTTCCATTACGCTAAAATAGCTTTTCTTTCCGAGACTGTAATTTAGCGGAGTTTTTTCTTTTCCTTCCTCAAATTTGTAATGATATTCATTTCAATTAATTGTTAGAGAATCTGAAGCATAATTGCTTCCATTAGGCCCCAATTCCTCTTACCTGTGTGACCTCCAGCAAGTTATTTAACCTATCTCGTCCTTCACGTCTTGTCTGCAAATTGGTGATAGTAATATTATCTCCCTCATAGGATTCTTATGAAGATTATGTAAGGTAATACATGACAAGCATTTACAATAGTACTCTGCCCAGGGTAAGTGCTAAAAAAAAAAAAAATGTTAGTTTTGTGTATTGTCAGCTTAGATTTTTCTTAAAATATGTAACCCTAGCATCATCAGAAGTTTTCAATTTTCTTTTTTCTGTTACCAGTTTGCCTTGTGGTAAGTAAATATAACAAGTTAACATTTACTACTGAGTGCTAGATTGTACTTATTTATAAATGTCATTTCAGTTAATTCTTACATAGCCAAGGTTACAATGCTGTTGTATCCATCCTTCTAAGTCTCAGGTGCCAGAACTAAAGTGAATGAGCTGGAATTTGATTTTTGCCTCCTCTACCAATTTTCTAGCATATTGCACTACTTGAGTTAGGAGTCGGAAAACTGTGGCCCACGTACCAAATCCATCTTGGTGGAGAAAAAGAACAGAAAATAAATGTGGTTTTTATGATGTGAAAATTTTATGAAATTCAATTTATAGTATCCAAACATAAAGTTTTATTGAAAGTGAGTCATGCTTATTGTTAACAAACCTTTGATGGCTTCCTACTACTTAAAGCACTGATAGGCAACAGTGACCTGACCCACTGCCTGTTTATGGGTCAATTAAGTTTTTCTGGACATTGACATGTTGATCTATTTATATATTATCTTTGGCTGCTTTCCTGATACAGTGGCAGAGTCGAGTAGTTTTGAGGGATCCATGTGGCCCTTTATGGGTAATGTTTGCTTACCCCAGTTTTCAGTATTTCCTTCAATTTATGATAACCTAATTATTGATAAGATTTCAAGGTTTAAAAATGGATATTTTATAATACATTTTGAGTCTAAAACATCAAAATTCATTTCATAACTAAGGCTTTGTGATTATTAAATCTTTTTAAAGTGAAGCCCAGAGAAGGGAGATTATCAGGTAAAGAGCTGATAGTCACCGTTTGACTCTAACCTCGCTCTCTAGGCCAGTCTGCCTTCTCTTTAAAATACCTCCCTTACCCTTGTGACCACAGTCATATTTCTCAAATTATGAATCCCAGTTTTTCAAAAATGGATATTGAATAAAAATGTCATTTGTATGAATAAAAATGATTATTTAAATTATATTTACAAATTTGGGTTTCTTTTTTTTTTTTTTTT